CACTGCTGGGGCACAGGCCTTCCCTATGGATGGAATAGGGAGATTGGGCTATAACCCACCACGCGGGCGTGCCTTCAGAAACACGAAGGAACTCGAGATAGAACATTTTTGGTCACCCATCCAATGACCGACCACTGCGAAAGTTGCTTAACTTCAATGATCGCAGCCGAACGCGCCCACGCCATCCAGCTCCTTCCTCCTACCTCTCTTAGCTCTAAATAACTAACATAATAATAATAATTAAATGTTCGATGTATTTTTGTCGTACAAATATTGTTTTGTCCTACGGTTTTAATTGGCAACCACGTTTTTAGAAAATTGTACTATAATCTTAACTTCAAGTAATTAATCGAACTCAATCTCTTTCGCAGTCCGGTGGAACAGAACATCTTTATCACTATGTTACAAAGCCATAGCTACTGTTGAAACGTGCCAGTGATTAATGTAAAAAAATACATTTTTCTCAAATATGCGTGGAAATTTGAGCATTCTTTTGACAACCTCCTTCGAGATAAATTGCAATTGTTGTACTAGCCTAATAAATGCGATTAGCGGCCGGAAGAAGTTGTATGAAAATCCAAATCTATCGCGGTTTAGCGGCCAAATAAATTACCTATAGTGAACTCATATCTGTCGTGTAATTTAAAAATAGAACGATCTTTTACTCCGAAATAGGGCAACCGAGGACGTAACTTATCAGAGATTTTATTGAAAGTACAATAAAATAAAATTAAAATACAGGGTGTTACAAAAATACAAATTAGGCGTTGAAGTACATAATATAAATAGTCTTCTCTAATTTTCTTAAAATATTTGCATGCAGTTTAAACAGTTATTTTTGATGATTAATAAAAATATCTATCATTTTTAAGACACGTCACTAGTTCGAGAGTCATTAAAAATAACTGTTTTGACGTGACAACGTCTTAAATTAGGTTGCGGCTGGGAGTCACTTATGAAAAAGTGTAACGCTCGGTAACGTTACGATGAGTCTCTCGTGTTAAGTTTAAGTTTACATGTACAATGTTTTAGTAAACAAAATATATTTCTATAGTTAAAATTTGTGCAATTCTTATTTTCATTCAATTCCTTGTTCCTATTGTGCAATTTAATTATATTCATATCAATAAATATTCTACCGAGAAAAAGACGTTGTCACGTAAAATCTTCGCCCGTAAAACCGACTTTACAGGCAACCATTTTTTATAAAAAAGTTAAAACTTCGTGCAAATATTTTAAGGAAATTAGAGAAGACTCCCTATATGATGTACTTCCACGCCCTTCAAGCTTTATTTGTATTTTTGTAACACCTTGTATAGAACTGTAGTGTTTATTGAAACAAAAAAAAAACACATGTACACTTTAACACGGTAAAAAATATTGTTCCCACCATTTAGTATTAGTTTCCACGCTTTATTTGAGAATATAGAAGAAAGAATATAAAAGTACAAGAATTGGCCACAACCATGCATTGATGGACCAACGTATGTTTATTATTATTTATTGTTATTTAAACGTTCGTCAATTAATGCTTCTTTTGCTGACCTTTGCAGAATTGTACTATTTCTCATTTTGCTATTTTAAAAGTCCGGACCGGTAAATACCTGAACGAAATATTTTACGAGCATTTCAATCTTTAATTATGGAGCCTAGCGGCTAGATGTAAAAACTTATAGATTTTAAATCTCTCAAAGATCCAATTTAAATTAACTGCTCTAATTATGACGACCTCCGTGGCCGAGTGGTTTGTACGCCACGTTTCCATAAATAACATTAACATATATCTTAACCAGTGTCAGTTGAGTTTCTGACTTGTGGTATTAATGACGGGTTGTTCAGAATGACTTGATATTAATCAAACAATCCTTTACGTCTGGTAATGCTTCAAATAAAGGTCGACTCGGACCTTACTTTTCTCATAGTTTAACAACTCTTTTAAAATACTGACGACCTCCTTAGCCGAGTGGTTTGTGCGCCGGGTTTCATGGTGTCGCCGACTCGAGAGGTCCTGGTTTCGAATCCCGGTGGGGGCAGATGTTTGTGTTATGAATACGAGCATTTGTACTCCAAACATGGATGTTTAATATGTATTTAAATAAATATACTTATATATGTATTCTATCCGTTACCCTAGCATCCCATAACACAAGCCTTATAGTGCTTACTTTGGGGCTAGCCTAATTGGTGTGAGTGTCGGAAATATTTGTTTATTTATTTATTATTATAACTAATCTATCTAAGGTCAATCCTTTTTTTAACACTTAAAAAAAAAGTAAAAAAATTCTCTTAAACAAAAAGGTGCGCGAGTTATGTCACACTTTTCTCTGCGCACCTACTAGATGAAATCCATCGCTGGGGGATACCTACCGCCTGGATGAAATTTTGTTTTCATCTAGTAGGTAGGCAGAGAAAAAATCCAGACCACCTTCGCCACGGTCTCCCTCTCTTCTCCACCGGGCGGCGACATACCAAAACACTAGTATATCGCCAAAACTATCGTAAATCGTAAGCTAAACTGTAATTGAAATCATCAAAATCAACATTTATTCACAAAGTGTTGAGCTAGCAACGGGAACAACTAATTAAGACTAGAGTGAAAGAAACATTTTTTTAAATTTTATATGACACTAGCGGCCCGCCCTCGCTTCGCTTCGGTATAGAGCTGAAGTGTAGACTACAGTTTTTGTTCTCAGGCTTGTATTATACATAATGACATTCATCTATGATTCTTCTTATACCTGCATGCAAAGTCTCAGCCCGATCGGTTTAAAATTGACAAAGTTTTATACAAACTTTCATTCCCTATTTTATCGCCTTGGGGGTAGAATTGATCAAAATCCTTTCTTAGCGGATGCCTACGTCATAACATCTACCTGCATGCCAAATTTCAGCCCGATCCGTCCAGTTGTTTGGGCTGTGCGTTGATAGATCACTATGTCAGTCAGTCAGTAACCTTTGAGTTTTATATATAAAGATAAACTTGCTAATTGTTTTGGGTAAAAATGTTATGAAGAATAATTTCTACTAGGTACCTTTTACGTAATTATGGCTGGCAACTGAGATAACAAACTAATTTGAAATAAACTCAGACAGTTGTTTTCTAAACAATCGCGTACGAATTATTTAGGGTCAAGATTTAATTAAGTAAGTATAATAGACATGGTCCGCAACTGATTTCATTCACGTGGACTAAAGAATTTTAATCTAGAGAATCTTCAAAGGAAATGAAAATGACAGAAAGTCGACTCGTGGATAAATACGACCACGAACATTACTTATTAAGAACGAGCGCGAGCTGAGAAAAAGGTATTCTAAAAACCTATTGCTGTCACGTATTGGCAAAACCATTCGATAGGGACAACAGTAGCTAACGCAGAAAATTGAGTAAAAAAATTGCAAAATTCGAGATATGGCTCTCGAAGATTTCCTTCTCGAAAATAAAATATGTGTTAAAGAAATTTTACCTATAGGATAAGTAGTAGTAGTAGTTATACTAAGCCTCTATGTTATGCTTTTTTTTGTAAAAGCTTATTAAATCTACACACTAGACGTCTTTAGTGGTGATTAAAATTTTGGCATTTTGAGGGCTTCTAGTTTCTTTGTAACACTAGTTATCGAAAAAAGGAAGACTTAAAAGCATAGAATAAATAAAATTATACTTCATTTATAAAATTCAATTCTTTAGTGATAAAAATTAAGGAAAAATCAAAGCCGGGAGCGTTTGCATGGAAAAAATCCGCCTCCCTTCTTAATATGTAATAAACTCTGTATATTGGTAACTTTATTGGTATTTTTATATTTGTTTCTTAGGTTTTCACGCACATCACTCATTAAATAAAACTAGTCTTTTACGGGTTAATGCAATATGAAACGTCAATAAATAAATAAACTTTCGTGTATTAACCCGTAAAAAACTAGTTTTATTTAATGGTATTTTTATGTAAATATCGCTTCTTGATACAAAGCTGTGAAGTTTCTTTCGCCTATTCTTCTTGCCAACTGAAAGATGTCCTTTACAGGTGGTAGAAAAAAATATATAAGGACCATTGAAAAGAGCTTTTAATAAATCGACTTGAATAAAGTTTATTTCCATTTCATTTCTATGAACCTTCTTTCAACTGAAACCGTTGAGCCGTTTCTGCGAAACATTTGAACATAAGAACTTTTACGTTTTATTTCTTATATCCACTACTCGTGCTCAGCTAAATATGCTTGTCACGTAGATGACATATTGGCGATGTTTGAACCCGACCCATTGCTTCTTTATTGAACTGTTCTCCTATTAAACTACTCTCAGCCATGAATATAGTGCTATTGTAATATTTTAATAGTTTAAAGCAATACATGGACATTTGTTTGTGTTTTCTGTATAGTTAGTTACATTTCGATGCGTTACATTGTTGAAACAAATATTTCGTTAATCTATACATATGTTAGTTATTTGTTTGTTATATTGACGTTTTTAAATAAACTAGAATAGGTCAATAAGTTTAAACAGTTGAGAACGCTTTCATTTTAAATTAAAACTTAATGTAAACTTGTTACATATTGTACATGCAAAACTTAAAATTGTGCAAAACAACATTTCAATTAAATAAACATTTATTGGTAATTTTTAGAAGGGAAAATTTTTTTTAATATCAATGAGTTAGTTTTTAATAATCTTGAATATTGTAGTATTTGAAAAATTCTAGGAAGGAAAAAAATTAACTTACGGTGAACCCAAATAATAAAAAAATAAAAATATATATAAAATTTGTTACTAACTTATAAATAAGTGTTTTTTTTCCTCGTCGTTTCTTATTGGTTGAAGTACTGGTCCCTTAAACATTGATTGTGTTAAATACCATTCAAAATAAATAAAAACATTTAAAATTGAATCAAATAATCCGCAAGAAAAAACTTAACAGCTCGCGATGTCATTGAAAGCATGAAAACAAACAAACGTCGTATCAAGTGATTAAATAAAAAGCTCCCTGAAAACCTTCTTTCATACTTACACGAAAAGGACACCTGGTTTTTCCTTTCCACTAAAACTCGCACAAATATTTATAGGTAAGAACCACAAGTCAATCCGATTTTCACGTAACTTCAGAAAGCGGAGCGCTGACCGGGGATCGCGTTAAACACGAGCGTACTCTTCGCGGTCCGGAGCCGAACTGAGGTGGTTGGTACTGGTATGCACAACGATTGCGAACCACAGAACGGATAAACAGAGTAACAGCCGTGTAATTTCGCGGAGTCGTGCAGACAGACAGTAGATCAACTCGTCGCTGCGATAAACACCTACAACACACTTCTGCACGGCTTGAGCGTGAAAGGGTTCAAGAGAAGTTTTCCAGTTCCAGAGGTCTTAAATAGTGGGATTGTAATACTTAATACTTGTGTTGTCATTAATTTGTTTCATGTTAAGTTTCGAAATGGCTAGGCATTTTACGTAATACCAAAATAGATATTTAGGTATAAAATGGAACATCTAATTTTGCAGATTTGTATATAATGCTTCAATATATCACTTAGTGTTAGTTGCACCACAGATTTTTTCATAGTTAAATTTTACTATATATTTAATTTGCAACGCTTGGACAGCTATTGTCACTGTAAAATTTAGGCTCATTTTGACAATTGTCAAATGGTGCAACACATAACCGGTACTTTAACTGAACTGTTAAAGTATTTGATGCATGCATCTCGCGCTCAAAATGATACCTAAAATGGCAAAATTTTTTGACATTTCAGCGAGAAAAGATAAGGAAAAAACAAAAACACAAGTCGTTGTGTATTAAATCTATCCACTAATTGTCATTTTAGTATTGGTCACCTTACCTTATTATGCTTCCATGGAATATAAGACATGTTATCATAATTATGCCAAACAAGTAATGACATGATTTTATTTATTTTGACGACCTCCGTGGCCGAGTGGTTTGTACGCCGGGTTTCATGGCTGTCGCCGACTCGAGAGGTCCCGGGTTCGAATCCCGGTGGGGGCAGATGTTTGTGTGATGAATACGAGCATTTGTACTCCAGTCATGGATGTTTAATATGTATTTATATAAATATACTTATATATGTACAGTATATGTATTCTATCCGTTACCCTAGCATCCCATAACACAAGCCTTATAGTGCTTACTTTGGGGCTAGGCTAATTGGTGTGAGTGTCGGAAATATTTATTTTTTTTTTTTTTTTTTTTTAAGCATTTAACTGCTAGATGTTTAAATCTAAAGTCTAAGTCTAAGTTTTTTCTAGTAAACTTTTCTTTAGTCATAACTATAATTGCTATTTCTTCTTTCAAATGTTTAATACTTGAAAAAGTATTCATTTGACATTGTGGGTTACCTACAATGCGAAGAGATGGCGCTGCCTTGCAGCTTAAGGCTAGGAAAATTTCGACGCGGCTAATAGGGCCGTGGTAGCATAATGGTCAGTGCATTCGCCCGGATAGCGAAGGATGCGGGTTCGAGTCCCGTCCGCTGCCTGGTCCGCGTGGATTTTTTTCTAGTAAACTTTTCTTTAGATTTAAGTAATGACATTTTTTTTAGTTATTTTAAAATATGCGTGAACGATTTTCAAACCAACGCTTGATGGTTGATTTAGTAATGATCTGTTATATTTTCCTTATAAGGCATTAATTTATTTAAGAGCCTCGTGAGTCTTAAATAACCATTAGCTAACAAACGATTTGACGAAAATTGGTGAAATTGTATCTAAGTGTGACTACAGTTCATGCTGTCACTTTCTTTGCAATAAATAAAAGAATAAAACAACAAGTAACTTAACGAAGCATTAAAATATACGTTTGATGATTCTGAGTACGGATATAAGTTCTCAATAATAAGTGTCAATCAGAGAAACGTTTTCTGACGATATTTGTATTTTCTATAGATAAGATGACGAAATAGTGTCAATTTTTATGTTTTGCTTAAATTCGCTTTAACAGCGATTCTGAACTGCAGTTTAAAAGAACAACAAACAACTGTGAACCAAAGTATCAAGTTTGAGGAGATTAAGAAGGAACAGGAGACTCACGCGAAAACGCTAAGGGATTTGCAAGCTAAAGGAAACTAAAGGAAACGAATGGAAACCTAAATACACGATAAGACTATCTCGAACAGCAGTCATCATCATCATAAGTCTCTTAATCTCCCCACTGCTGGGGCACAGGCCTTCCCTATGGATGGAATAGGGAGATTGGGCTATGACCTACCACGCGGGCCCAGTGCGGATTGGTGGGTGCTAACGACTGCAGATGCAGCCGGGACCAACGGCTTAACATGCCTTCCGAAGTACGGAGGAGCTCGAGAAAAAAAATTTTGGTCACCCATCCAATGACCGACCACTGCGAAAGTAGTTTAAATTCAACGATCGCTGCGGAACGCGCTGACTACTTGCGCCATCGAGCTCCTCTGCGCCATCGAGCTCCTCATGCGCCATCGAGCTCCTCAATCAATTAGAAGAATTATTGGTTATAAACTAAGCTATGTTGTTTTTTTATATATAATTTGATAGTTCAACTTTATCGTAAAATAAATTGTTGTCGCCCTAATGCGTGAGGAGCTAACCTGTGTCTGTTGCAGACAGTTTTCAGGATTATAATTTAATTAAGGCTAGCAGACGGGACTCGAACTCGCACCCTATGATCAGTGCATTCGCCCGGATTGCGAAGGGTACGGGTTCGAGTCCCGTCCGCGTGGAATTTTTTCTAGTTATATTTTCTTTAGATTTAAACATCAAGCAGTTACATGCATTAAAATAATTATAATTAATTAAGGCTAGTTCTACTGTTAACAGACGTAGATTAGCCTAAGAAACAAAATAAGTGTCATCATCATCATCATCATCATCATGAGCCTTTTTAAGTTAAGCAGTGCGGCTGTGGCACAGGCCTTCCCTATGTGACCCACCAGGCCCAGTGTCGATTGATGGGTGCCAACGACTGCAGATGCAGACCAACGGCTTAACGTCCCTTCCGGAGCACGGTGGAGCTCGAGAAAATAAGTTTCTGGTCCAATCGCTACACCCATCCAATGACCGACCACTGCGACAGTTGCTTAACTTCAACGATCGCAATAAGTGTAGTGCTGTAGAATTGCTCAGACAAGTAGTAGGTAGATCAAGTCATCACTAAGCGATTAACACCTCAACGCTACTAGACGGACACGGCCAAAGGGTTCAAGGGTTAAGATGTGCCGAGTCAGTCTTAGAAATGTAAGAGATAATTATATCTGTTCAGTAAAGTAAAGACGGTTCTTTGACATTCAATTGTATTTATTTATTTATTCTTTATTACCAAAAACAGTAAATGGCGGACTTAATGCCATAGGCATTCTCTACCAGAATGAGTTGCTGAGTTTCTTGCCGGTTCTTCTCAGACAAGGTCTTCTGGTAGACTCTTGAACCGATGGCATCAAATTTGACGTTCATAAGTGTGCAAATTGTACCTAAATGAATAAAGAAATTTTGACTTTGACTTTGACTTTGAGTCAACCAGTATGGGTGTATGAGACGGATGTTTTGGGGATAGAGTGCGAGTTACTAAAGTTAGAGAAAAATAATAATAATAATATTATCCTACAGAACTATACTATACTATAAACGATAAATATATATTATATATAAATAAAATATCCCTATATATATAAATACAAATACACATATATAAATATATACATACACTTAATTAGTTAGAAATAACTATATCAGATGGTATAGATGACTGCAGACCAGAGAAATATTAGACGGTCAGACAGTGTGCATGCACTAGTTTTTTGAACTCCAACTTACTACGAGCACTGCTAATATTCAATGGCAAAGCATTCCAAAGACGTATAGCTGTAATGAAAATGAGTTTTAAGGGTAAAGTGCCTGCAAGAGACACTTCTTAGACTTAGATCACGTGGTTTGGAGGGACCCAGAAACTGAAACCTAGATTTCAAGTACTCTGGGTCTGTATTATGTTTATTAACTGTATTATGGAAATGATAAAACTATCTGTAGTCACAATGCTGTTAATCAGTATTTGATGAATATGAAAATCACAATGATTGAAAATATTTCAATAAAATAAGATATAAGAATATATTTTCTTTTAACAACATACAGACGAAGAGCTAATGAACCCTCTGAGTAACGGTATGTCTGTAAGGCTAGAAATTCTTATGGTGATGAGTCATAGCATGCTTAGTACGTTAAGCATCGCCTGGCACTCCTCAGCCCTGCACGTCATCTAGCCCTATATTTTAAAAATTGTCAAAAAACATTTAAAAAAAAAGTTGTTGCTGTAAGCTTGAAATTTTTATATAATATAGTTTATTCATTTTTAAGTTTAAAAAATGCCAGGCGTTTACGATGAGCACAAGTACCCGCCAGGTGAACCGAAAGGTGTGTAATATATAAATTAAAATAAACTTTATATATGTGTTTGTTTAAGGGATTTAAGTAAGTAAGAGAATGCCAGGCAGTTCTGGCTAGCACAAGTCCTTTCCAGGCGAGGCGACAAATGCTGCGGCAGTGCAAGTAAGAGTCGTAGTATGAAAACTTACGGTATATTATTGATGCAAATTAAATGATATGAAAATAAAAGTTATGGGTAAAACATTTTTTATTATTATAAGTCTTTAAATTAATTAATAAATCTTCATCATCATAATATGATTCTTAGTTGCTGATTTCATCATCTAAACAGAAACAAAGTTTTAATACATTAATAATAACATCACATCTCTGACCTTGCGCTCAATTTAAAAGAATTCCATGGCTAGAATGGCCAGGTCTTTTACAATTTTTTGTTTTTGAAAGATAATAAGGTCGATAATAATTATTTTCGTGGCCGCTAGAAAATAATTGACTTTAATATTTGATTCACACAGTAGACAAAAAAAAATTGTTTGTTTGACTTAGATATTACTGGTGCAGCTAAGTTAGCCACCCACGCACCTCGCGTTAGGGCGCCTGTTGACGATTTTTTTTTGAGTATGTATGCTGTTGTTCACAGGTGACCTTTACAGCGTCACTGGGTTTAGGGACGGCGAGATCCTAAGGGGACCTCAAGCCGAGAATTCCCGAATGCCTCTAGAGGTATTCCAGGAGCCTCGTGACCACTCAAACCTGAGGGGTCGGCTCAACTAAGAGGGCATCTCTCAGACTC